ACGAAATAGAGTAACATTGAATCGCGGGTAATTGCGAGATATAACAATACCAACGAATTTGTAAGTTAACAGAAAATAAATATTTTTGAAGATTTGTACATTAAACATTTTAATATTTATATATACAAATGGTTGGCTTCATAAGTTCTTTACCCATATATATATATATATATATATTCACAAAAATGTTTTAAAAAATTTTTATGAAGAAAGAAATTCCCATCTAAATTCTATTAGATTTTTGTTTATGAATCAAAAGAACAAGACTAGTTGTAGGCATAAAGCAAGCTAATGCAATTAGAAGCAAAGTGTGTGGGAGATTCCCAAATTAATATTTTCTCTTTTATTAATTTTTTAAAATGGGTTTTCATAATTTACAAGCAATATATATATATATATATAAAATATGTTTCCTAGCAATATGAATTAAGCTCTATATATATATATATACATACATATATAGGCATGGAACACATAAAAATGTATGAATTAAATAACAAATAAACTGAAGTGGTAAAATTAAGTATATGGGCGGTTCTTGCATATTATAAAAATAAGCTAATAAATTCATCCTATACACACTAGACAATAAGTTAATTTCCAGTACTGTAAGCTTGTTTGATTTTTCTTTTTAATATGATTTCATCAGTTTAAGATAGACATAGATATATATATATATACATATACAGAAAAAAATCAAAAGCATTTTTCTTTCTTCCAAGAAAAGATATTATATTTTAAAGAAAATGATCAACAAATAAATCATATATATATATATATGTAGAGTGATATTACCAAAAGGGCTATACATATATATATATATATATATATATATATATATAGAGAGAGAGAGAGAGAGAGAAATACCCTGATAATATGTTAAACAAGAAAAATGAAGAATGATTATCTTCAAACAAAGAAACTGAAGAACAAAAAAATCACAGAACAAGGCAGAAGAAAGTAAGCATAATGGCAGACCCATATTACCAAATAAAAAATAAGCAAGTAAATATATATATATATATATATATATATATACACACACACATACCCTGATAATATGTTAACAAGGAAAAGCACTGCAATAAAACCAAAAATTTCTTTGTCATTTTCCTGTTCTTCAGTCACTGATCAGATCTCCTACAAGAACCTCTGAATGAACTCGAAGGAAGCCCAGAAGTTTCCTCTCTCTCTCTCTCTCTCTCTCTCAACAACCAAGAACTCTAGAGGCTGTAGCAAGTGAACGTTAAATAAGATGAAGGGTATTATTATATACTAATAATAAGTGTATATATATATATATAATATAAATGCAGGAGATGAGAAGAAGAAACAGAGGAAGAAGAAGGGAATCAACAGTTACCCGAATGGCAGTAATGACAGACATATTGCTTCTTTCTCTTTCATGGGAAGTTATTTGCAAGAGAGGGATGATGAATTTTGATTCTGCATCTCCATGATAATATTATATTGATTTTTTTGTAAGTATATATATTACGGTACGTAAAGCCATCAAACGTATATATATATATATATTTAATCTTTTTTTCCTCTCACAACTTTTCGTGATATATTGATAATTTCCCTTTTGAGATTCTCGGAGTAATTAAAATAATCTCTAGAGACTTCTTTTTATTAAAAAAAAAAAGAAATTAAAAAATGGCTGCATACACACATATATATATATATATATGAGAGAGCAAGGCACAATGTCATTAATAGATGCTTAAATCAATTATAGATTTATAAATCACAATTACTATGAATTTGCATTCTTAACTATCAAGAAAAGAATTATAAAAATCACTTAATTTAAATTAAATATAAAATTAACCTAAGATCAAAATTATTTTTATTTCTTACCGTCTTGTCCGTGAATGAAAATACATTATTAAACTACGTAAAAATTATATATATATTTTTTTATATTTTTACTTCGTTAAAATTTTACATACTTTTGGAATTTAGTTCCCCAAGATTATTCAATTAAAGAAGACAAGATCATTTTATAAGAATAAGATGCCATGAAATTTGAGGCAACAAAAGGGATTTTTCCACCACAATTTTTCTTTTTTTTTTTGTAATTGAAAAAATTAATTCAAATATTATGTAAAAACCCAAAAATTTAAGAGAAATGAATTCGTGAAATTAAATGCGGAAGTGATTAATAGAGCTAGAGTTTACATTTCTTACACAATAATTTAGAATACCCAATAAAGATACGTCAATGTTCCTTCTAAAAGTTAAACGATAATTAAATAAATGAAAAGAAAAAGGAATACAAAAGTACCATAAGACAACCTTCACTAACTCTTGAAGGGAGTTCGAGTGGTAAACTGCTCACAACCCTCTTACTGATCGGGATCTGGATTCTGATCTTCTTGATTTGAAATAGTTAATGAAAGTGTGAGCTACACTACCACAGTAAGAATATCACACTAATTACAGACACGACGAACTGAAGATTGGTAAAAATTAGAAAATAACTAATAGAACCCTTACTTTATTTAAATACCTTTAAACTTGAAAATGTTTGTTTGATACTTACCGTAACAAGTTTTTTCAAAACAACCTATGAAAACTCATATGCATACCACTTTTCACTTTCACGCATAAGAGAACAAGAGATAATAATTTTTCTTTCTTACTTATTTACTTACTGGTACCCCTGAGGGTCCATAGGGATGTCCCCCCTACTTGTAAACCTAATATCTAATTTTACAATTAACCGGTCGTCTCCATACTCCGTCCGGTAATGGGCGTCAAACATTTCATCGTCTTGATATCTCGTCCGGTATGAGGGTGAATCATATCTCCCAAACTTTTTTGGTAAGAGACTTCTCATCCCTGTCCAACTGAGGTAACGTTCATGGTGGGTTCCCTATGTACCGACCTCGTCCACCCTTTCTCTAGGTACCTAGTAAGTATTTCATATACAGATTTTCATCAACAACAAACAAACGCATACCAATATCTCATTTTACATTTACATATCAATTAAACTACATTCATGCCGACGACATATAACTAAAATAACAATATAAATTGATAAGACCAGTGAAACTATAAATTAGGAACATGTAGTATACAAAAATCAAGTAAGTAGGACAGTACAGGAAATCAAGATAATTGTGAACTAACCGGTTCTGACTCTACTAATAATCTGTAATTATTTTTACGATTTTTTTTAATTTTTTATAAAAATATGAAATTATACATTGTTAAACCTCAATTTAACGTAACAGAGAATAGAGTGAGAGATCCTTACCCAGATAAGTGTTTCGAGACGTCACGCTGTCTACCACGACTCCTAACGAGTATCGGGTTCTCTGAATTTTTTTACAGAATTCAAAACACTCATCACGTACCTAAAAATACCTCAAAAATCCAAAATCGATATCCAAAACTCTTTCCGGTCAATTTCGGAGTTCTGGTACACTGCCGGCACCGTGCTCTAGTGCCGGCTCTGCCGCCCACAATAGTGGTTCACCTCGACCAAGCTGGTTTTGACTAATTTTGACCAACTCTACACGTATCTCTACAGAAAACACGTTAAAGGACCTTAGTTGGCCGAAAAATCACCAAAAATATCGAACCTACCGGTAGGGGGGTCACCAAGTGCGGCGGCTCCATCGGTCTTCCTTCGCAGCTGGGGTTCCTTCTTCGCCTAACTTGTATAAAAAAATATAGTGAACACAATAATCGAAAAATCACGTGAAATAGGAATCGAGAAGGGACTCATCGGAGGGATTTTGGAGTTTTGGCCGCAGTGGCTCCGTCAGGCTTTGCTCGCAATTTTTGACTCACCCGTCGTCCCTCTTGCTCCGATTTGGCCACAAGGGTGCTCAAAATCAAATTCTAAGTGGGTAGAGAAATTTTTTACCTTTTTTGGTGGCCGGTGGTGGATCTGGTGCAACAGCAGTCGACATTCGACCTCCTTCTCCGACACTTGGTTCTTCTTCTCCTGCGGGGGGCTGACAGCTAGGGTTTGGGTTCCCATGCGATGTGAAGTATTTACATCCATCCCGTATCGGTATGACCCATTCATCGCGATTGATCTCATTCGTCTGATTACGTCTAAGGAAGAAATGAATTTGGACCGTTGATCTTGATTGATCTTGGTCGTCCGATCGCGCCTAAAAGGAAATGAATCTGGGTCGTCCACACATACGGGATCGATCCTGGGTCCAATTGTGAGGCACACGGATCGCCTGCGTTGCTTCCCGCGTGACCTCTCGCATGGTACCGACATCAGTGTGCTTTGTCATGCGGCATGCTCCAGTTCGTCAGGGTTGCTGACTAGGCGGTCCTACGTGGCTGATCTTTCCCTTTTTGCACTTTTACTCCCTTTTTTTAATTTTTCTTTTTAAAAACACCCCCAAACTCAAATTTTCACCCATTTCTTCTAAAATTGCTTTCAATTACATTCCTAACTTTTTTTTAATTATTTAATAAAATTAAGTTAAATTGATTTAAAAATAATTATTTATTTATTTATTTTTTGATACCAAAATTAAATCTCATACCAAATTCTGGACCCAAGTACTACAACTCTTCCCCCTTTAGAAGAATTTTGGTTCCTCAAATTTGTCACCCTCTCACTAGTCAAACAGTTGGTGATACTGGGCTCAGAAGTCCGATTCTACCTCCCATGTGGCCCCTTTCTATGTGTGATTCTGTTATAGGACTTTGACGAAAGAAATTTCTCTGTTGCGGAGTACTCTGCTTTATCGGTCTATAATGTCCACTAGTACCTCCTCATAGGATAGATCTTCCTGGAGTGAAGAGGGGTCGTGAAACAATATGTGTGAGGAGTCCGAGTTATACTTATGTAGCATGGGCACATGAAACACATTATGAACCCTAAATAGTTCTGAAAGTAGTGTCAGTCTGTAGGCAGTCGTACCAATCCTGTCTAAGATCTCAAATGACCCAATGAACCAGGGATTTAATTTTTTCCTCTTGCCAAATCTTTTGATTTTCTTGAAAGAGGTGACTTTAGAGAACACTCGATCACATTTCTCAAACTCCAAATCCCTCTTTCGGTTGTTTGCATAATTCTTCTATATGTTCTGAGCTCTTTGGATGTTTTTCTTGATCTTAACTCTCTTGGTTGTAGTCTTTTCCATTAGATCTGGGCTGAACAATTTTCTATTATTCACCTCTTCCCAACAGATTGAAGACCTGTAGGGGTGACCAAACAATGTCTCGTACGAGGCCATGCTGATGCTTGATTGGTAGCTGTTATTATAGGCGAACTCTATCAAAGGTAGATGATCATCCCAATGGCTCTCGAAATCTAGAACACAAGCTCGAAGCATATCCTCTAATGTGTGAATTGTCCTATCTGATTTTCAATCAGTTTGAGGGCGAAATGCGGTACTAAAGAACAGCTTTGTTCTTATGGTTTGCTAAAAATTAAACCAAAACTGATAAGTGAATCTGGGATCTCTGTCGGATACCACTATCACTAAAACTCCATGTAATTTGACTATCTCTCGAATATACATTCTTGTTAGCTTATCCAAATGTCGGTCATCTTAATAGTCAAGAAGTAAAAGGACTTGGTGAGCCAGTCGACAATCACCCAGATAGCTTCATACCTCATGCATGCCTTGGGCAATCCTATCACGAAGTCCATTGTGATAGTCTCCCACTTCTACTCTTAGATCTGTAATGGCTGAAGAAACCTGTCTAATCGTTAATGCTCAGACTTAACTTGTTGACATACCAGACACTTGGAGACAAGGTCGGCTATCTCTCCTTTTATCATGCTCTACCAAAATCGGTGTTGCATACTTTGATATATTTTAATACTTTCGAGATGGATGACAAACTTTGAGCATTGTCATATGGAACACACACCATATCCTGAAACTTAAGCAATCCATCGTCAAAGACTCGAAATTCTAGATGTACTCACTATTCTGCATCTTTCATGAGGACGGCTATAATGGAATCGATTAATTGAGTTTCTTTTATTCTCTGGATCAATTTGGGTTAGACAGTTAAATGGGTCGAGCATGTAACTCTCTTCAAGTCCAAAAATCGTATCTGTTGTGTGACCCCTATTACCTTGCATGCAAAAGCTATTAGGTGAGCTAACATACCTACACTTTTTCTGTTGGGCGTGTCAGCTACTACATTGCCCTTATTCAGGTGATATAAAATATTATAATCGTAGTCATTGAGGAGTTCTATCCAATGCCTCTTACTCATGTTGAGATCCTTCTTAGTGAATATATGCTTCAATCTCCTATGGTCAGTATAAATCTCAAAAGTCTCCGTATATATGTTGTGGTGCCAGGTCTTCAAGGCGTGGATAATGGCAGTAAATTCTAAGTCGCGGGTGAGGTAATTTTTTTTATGACTGTTCAACTGCCTGAACCCATAAGCTATAACCTTACTATGCTGCATCATAATACAACCCAACCTCAGGTAGAAGGCATCATTATACATTGCATATCCATATATCCCACTCAATAAGGCCAACACAGGTATAGTAGTCAACCATTTCTTGAGTTCTGTAAAGCTCCTTTCGTAGTCCTCGTTCTATTCAAACTTAATGTTTTTCTTTGTGAGCCGGGTCAAAAGAGCGGTTAGGTTAGAAAATCCCTCCACAAACCTGCGGTAACAACCTATCATTCCCAGAAAGCTACGATCTCCTTGACCGATGTCAATTTTTATTAATCAAGCACTGCCTTAACCTTTTCGGGGTTCACTGATATTCTATTATTTGATATGATGCGTCCTAGAAAGGTAGTTTGCTCGAGTCAGAACCCACATTTGCTTAATTTTGCATATAGTTTCTTCTCTCTATGAACCTGCAAAACTTGAGTCAGGTGGTAAGCATATTCCTTTATGCTATTTGAATATATCAGGATATCATCGATAAACACAATAATGAACTGATTCAGGAATTTTCTGGAAACTCTATTCATCATATCCATAAAAATGGGTGGTGCATTGGTTAGTCCAAAGGACATGACCCGGAACTTATAATACCCGTACTTAGTTCTGAAAGCTGTCTTAGGAATATCCTCTGCCCTAATCTTTATCTGATGGTAATCCGAAAACAAATCTATTTTGGAGAAAATCTTGGCACCCTGCGATTGATCAAAAAGTCATCAATTTTGATGAGGGGGTACTTGTTCTTGATCGTGACTCTGTTCAATCCCCTTTAGTCAATAAACGATCATAACTTCCCATCCCTTTTCTGCAAATATGACTCCAGCACCCCAATGAGATATATTATGTCAGATAAACCCACCATCCTGCAATTCATTGATATATTTTCTTAGTTCTTTTATCTCGATACGGCTCATGCGGTAAGGGGCAACCGAGATAGGCTGTGTGTCAAGTTGAAGATCTATGGTGAACTCAAATTCTCTGTCTACTAGCAGTCCGAGTAGTTCATCAGAAAATACATCCGAAAAATCTTAGACTACCAAAAACTCATGAATGCAAACTTCTTTCTTAGGTTTGCCTAATGCATAGAAAACAATCGAGTTAAAGCATTATGCAATGAGGAAATCACCATGAGAAAATAATATTTAAAATTTTTATTAAGTTGTAAATGACTCCTCATTAGGAGGGTTGAATACAAGTTTCTTG